CCTGTTCTGCCTTCTCTGTACTATAAACCATCTGTCCCTCTCTGTTTCTGTTCTGACGCACCATGCCGTCCATATGTGTGTTTACTCATCCCTCTCATCTCCTGCCTGTGGATCTGCAGAGTGGGAGCTGCCTACGTCTTGTGTGTTAGAGCTGCAGCCGTGCAGCTCCCAGCATTTTATTTTTGACTCAAAAGTTTTTCTTTATTTGCTTTTTTTGTACCGAAGTACCGCCTGTTGGGATCTCTGCAGCTCCTATAGAGTTCACATTAGACCTTTCAAAGTTTTATAACCTGGTTTTGTTTAAATCATCTTAACAGCTGACCTGCTTTTGTTTTCTTTAACTCATTCTCTAACAAACCGCTAAAAAAAAAACACAGAACTAAATCTAAACTACTTTTACATAAAAAAAATAGTTAGATTTTTGCACTGGATTTTATTTCGGGGTATCAGGGCAAAAAGGGGCTAAATATAAATGAACAGATGGTTGCTACACCCTGAATGTTTATATATCTTAAAAATCCAAGTCTTTTAACTGCTTAAATTATTTAAACCAGTAAAACATTTAATTAAAATGGTTTTGCTGCAAACCTGCAAGACTTTTTTGTTTTTTTTCTTTGTCAATGACTGACGGTTTTTAGACGATTATTCACCAGTTTTGCATCCTTTGGTTGCTGAGTGGGATAAGATATCTGAAACCCAACGGTCTTTAAACCCCAAACTATTAATAAGTCAGCAGATGTAAATATTAAGCTTTTTTTGACGTCAACCTGGAGCAATCTGGTTTGAGACGTGCCTATAAAAGGCTTTGGAATCAGTTAGAAAAGTTTGCCTTTCCTCTGAGTGTCCATAAGTTATAAAAAAAAAAAAAAAAGAAGAGGTAAAGCATTTTTTTTACTTATAGTTACAGAATTTGGTTGAAATTTCCTGGGACATAAATAATAATAGAGGAGGGCGTTCCACAAGGTTCTGATCTTGGTTCTTTGCTCTTTTTGCCTTTTTTAATGAAAAACCTGGCATAGAAATGCTTAAAATTGTATTTTATATTTGAATTTTATGCAGTCATATTAAAATTATGGTGAAAGATCTTCTTTTGTTGTACCTTAAACAGCTGTCCATGATTATTCTTAGGTAGTTTCAGTATCTAGTGAGCTTCGGTTTCAGGAGTGTTTCTTACATTGCGAAAAGTTTGTTCTTTGGCTAAGTTAGTGTCTTTGGCTAAGTTAGTTGCCATTCCCGCAGAGTAGCTAAGAGCAGGGTTACTCGAAAAGTGAATTTGGTGTTTCTAACCTACATTTTCAGAAAAATGATCCACTATATCCAACAGCTGCTAAAGCAGTAGGTAGGCCTACTCTTACATTAAAGCTTTTAGTTTAGGGAGAATCCCATTTAACCCCTCGGCTCTATCCCTCAGTTTTATGCGTTCATATGTAGGGGTGTCCCAATACTTGTTAGGACCAAGAGGAAGGGGTAAGTGGTAGGGTTATATACCCCTTCAAACAAACTTCTGTTAAGAAGATGCTTAAAATGGAGGGATACAACAAATCTCCATGCTAACCTTGGTTAAACATCAAGTTTTTGGATATAATCCACTAAGATAAAAAATCGGCAACGTTTGTAATTTGTGTAACTTTGCTAAACTTAAATTTGTTTAGATAACGTCCTTTATCCAGCTTTTT